CCCGCTGACATCTGCGCGCGCTGGCTTTTGCGCCCGTTGACGCATGCACCCGCTGACGCATGCGACCGCTGAGGTCGGCGCCCGCGGGGGCCGGCGTCAATGGGGGCGCAGTCGCTCGCTGACGCGCAAGCCCAACGAAGCCAGCGCCCGCTGAGGCTTGCGCTAATCGGCGCGCGCGTTTGGTAACTTCGGCGCCGGCTGAAGTCCGCGACCTCCGACGACCGTGCTCGCTGAAAATTGCGGCCGCCGACGACGCCAGCGCCCGCTGAAGTTATGGAGTCCGCGCCCGTCGGCGTCTGCGATAGCAGACGCGATCGCCCGCCAAAATTCACCCCCGCTGAAGTGCGCGCCCGCCGAGGTCCGCGCTCAATGTCAACCAGTGGCGAAGCGTCTGGCTTCCCTATCGGCCCGCCAAAATATGGCTCAAGAACCTCTAGTGGTCTTGCACGAATTTGTCTGAGAACATTTCTGGCTGGTGTTGTCTGATTTAAACACATCGGGCTTACGTTCCATTACTATTGCTTGTGTTCCTTCAGAACAGAAGCAATTCTAATGGACGATGGGAATGCCAGGACGAGGGAATGCCGGTTTCTGAGGTCGATGGGAATGCCAGGACGGTCGATCCCTGCTCAACAATGAAGTCTGCGCCCACCGGCAATACTGGCTGGATCGATGTGGCGTGGGGCTCGGCGAAGAGCAGGCCGCACTTCCGCCCCTTGGGCCGTCGCCCACGCGGCCCTCGCCTTCCCCCGCCGTTGGGCATCGTCCGACTTCTCCATTTGGCCGCCGTCTTTGTCTGCGTGTCGCCCCCTGCCCTGCCGTCATCTCCGTTTCCGCATCCCTTTCCATTCGGAGGTGGACAGACTTCCTACCCTGACACGTCGATTAGCGAATTGGCCGTTTTCGGTTTGCGAGAGGGCGTCGCGGCCGTCATCTTTGCGGGTCCAGGTCCGTCGGTTTCGGCCCCAGGCCGTTTTCACTAAAGGGAGGTTTACTAAAGAAAGGTTTGTCCACCGCCGATCCATAAACAGTTTCTCTTGTTCGCTCTCCCCCGGCGCATCCAAAACCAGGTTGCGTTCGCAGGGGGCGTTGCGCCGGTGGCGCTTCGATTTGGAGGCGCGCACTTCGGCGCGCGCGCGCGGCGACGGCTCGAGCGGCACGCGGCGCGCAGCCCGCGCATAGGGAAGCCGCGACGCCGCGCGTGGGCGCGCCCGAGGTTTCGATCTGGACACCAAAAGTTGCTGCACCAAAAGAGTGCAGGCCGCGTGTCGCGTCGAGACTCGCTTCAGATGTGTTCCCACGCGGCGTTTGTGGCGACCCGCCGGGAACCTTCGCCGCAGAGTTGAATGCGCCTCCATCGCCGCCTGGGGCCCCCCTTCCAGGCACGCCGAGGGCATCGCACCCGTTTTTCTGCGCCCATACCGGGCGTCCAAATTGCTCCGAAGACCAAGAGGTAATGAGAAGGATGCGTTCCAGGATTTCCAACGTTTCCAACATACCCACTAGCTGCGCCACCAGATGGAAATCCTGGAACGTATCTTGCGCCAATCTTCTGACATCATTCTAGCCCTGCGTGTGCCCCCAGGGGTCCTCGATCTGGTCGAGGTCTTCGGTTCTCGATCGAGAGTCGAATCCTCGACGGAGGGCCCTCGGGACTCTCGATCTTCGGTTGGGGATCGGATCCTCGCTCGAGAGCCCCGATCGTCGAGGATCGACTCCTCGATCCTCGGGGATCGAATCCTCGATATTCGATCGAGGGCCTTCGGGGGGTGGCGCGCCCCCCCACCCCATGTCGAAGATCATCGGGAAGCGCGCCCGCCCAAGTGCGTACACGCTTCGGTGCCGCGAGGGCGCGCGGCCTCTTCCGGGCTAGTTACGCTGCATCGCCTGCGTCGTGTGGGGCTTCCGTGCACAAGCGCACGTTGGTGTTAGCACATGTTCTCAGGTTGATCGAACGCGGGTCTTGGCTCGGATCGGGGTTCGGACCCTCGATCCGCCCCCGTCTCTCTCGAAGGACAAATGGCATACACGTGAACCGTCGGAACATACCTCTGGCGACGCCTCTGGCGCCGCCCCTGTCGCGTCCCGCGCGCCAGGGAGGGGGGTACAGCGCGGACCCAAGACGTCCCAAACGATGTCCGACCGTTTACGCTCATGTCGTCTGTTGCTCTTCCACCCTCTCTCCCTCGGTTTTTGGGAGTCGACGTTTTAGGACGTGTTCGCATGCTCCTGGAGATTGTCCTGCCTCTGGATACGCTCCAGCAAGCGCCCGCGCTCCTGCCCTGGAGGACGTGGTCCCCCAGGGCCCACGTCGATCCGACCGAGCTTCGTGGATCGAGGCTCGGGCGGGGTTTCGGACGGGTTCTTCGGTCCTCGGACGAGGGTTCCGTGCCTCGGCTGTGCGTTCTGGCAGTTGCGCCCCGCCTGGAGCGGCCCCCGGGGGTCCACTTCGATCCAACCGAGGTTCGAGGATCGGACGTTTCGGGCGGTTTTCGGACGGGCTCGTCGGTCGCTGGATGGTTTCCTGCTTCGCGATGCGTTCTGGCAGCGGTGCCTCGCCGAAGACGTTTCGGGGGGGCCTGGATCGCCCCGAACCGCCGCCCCGAGGCGATCCGACGCGGCCCGATGTTCGCGTTGGCGCCGTTGTGCCATCCTGGCGCGGGCGATCCGATTCGATGCCGGCTACGCGCGGATGCTTCCCGATCCGATGCACGTTTCGATCTGGTGCGGTTTTGCGATTCGATGTTAATTGATTTGGCCTCCCCCCACACCACATCGCCCAGGGGGGGGAACACGAACACCCCGATCCCCTTTACCTGGCGTCAACCAGAGTACTCGAGCCCTTTGCTTTTGGTACACAGCCTCGCCCTGTTTGGTTGTTTCTTTGTTGCGTTTGCCGAGGGGATGAGGGTGGTCCTTCTACCCTCTAATTAGTGGGCCTCTTCTATGGGAAGGACGAGGGGCAGGCTCCGGGAGGACGGAAAGGAGGAGGATCGAGCAAGGGGGGGAGGAGAACCCTCCTCGTCCTCGTCCTCTTCTGACTCGTCCTAGAGGATGTGGATCCACAGAAATCGTGTTGGAATTCTCTGTCTGCTCGCGGCGCCCAGGGAACACGCGCATACACCCAGCACATAGGATTCGTGCAACGGCCATACACGAAACAGACGCAGCACGTGATCGTTTTCTTTTTCATTGTTTTGCCGAACGGCCCGGCCCCTCGCCCCCCCTCCCCCCCTCCCCATGGATTAGGTCTTGGCTGTTTCGGCGCCTGCATCAAGCAGGCAGAGCCTCCCCCATGGGACGCACTGCCGCAAACAAGCAGTCGCGCTCAGCAGAGGTCCAGAGCCGGACCCCCCCCTCCCTCCCCCCCTTCCGCCCAACGTCGAGATGCCGATGAAGAAAACGTCCACCACCTCGCACAGGGGTTCCGCAGGCGACAGTCTTCGTCAAACGACGCGAAGATCGGGACAAAATCGGATCGGGACAACTCGAGATCTCTGAGAATCGGCGGGTTGGGAGGATGCATTGGGCGCCGCGGCCGCTCCAGAGCGTCCCGGAACGCTCCGAGAGCGCTCCGGAAGGCTCTGGAGCGATTTGTCCCGATCCTAGCCCTGTTTTACAGCTGGCTCTTTTTGGGTTGGGTTCCGTTGTCTCCGATGCCATGCAAGGGGTGGATCGACGGACATGTTCTCGTACAGTCATTAACAAGGAGGGGGTGAACCGACGAATCTGTTTTGTTGTTGTTCTGGGGATGTCCCGAGCGAAGTGCCTGTTTTTGAGATTTCGATACTTCGAGGACCGTTCGCAGCTGCTCTCTTCGGTGAGGCCTGCCAGCGACACGCTCTCTGCACCGGCGTTCGGCGCGCCCAGGCGGACAGGCCGGGGCGGGGCCCGCTCGGCGGCGCCGCCCCGCGGCACGGCCAGGGCGGCCGAGGCCCCCTCGGCAGTCGTCGTCTTCGCGTTTGACGTCGTCGTCGTCGTCGTCGTCGTCGGTGTCGTCGTCGTCGTCGTCGTCGTCGTCGTCGTCGTCGTCGTCGTCGTCGTCGTCGTCGTCGTCGTCTTCGCGTTTGACGTCGTCGTCGTCGTCGTCGTCGTCGTCGTCGTCGTCGTCGTCGTCGTCGGTGTCGTCGTCTTCGCCTCCGTCGCGGCAGCCGCTGCCTCCTTTCTGTGGAGGAGGGCCGTGCGCTTTCTCGGGCGTGCCCCCACGTTCTTTCGCTCTGCCTTCTCGCCCTCGTTCTCATCCGTGCCCCACCACAGTCCATCTCCCTCTTCGTTAATCCGACGCCCCCATGTGATTAACGCTCCCCATTCGCGATTCGTCTCTACGCTACTTCAGCATTCCACTGACAGGGGTGACCAGCTTGTTGTATGGACACGTCGAACGTGTACCACTGCCGATCGGCCATCGGAAAGAGGTGTGCTTCTCAACGGGGGCTGTCGCTCCGGACTCTGCCGTCGTCGCTGCGGTCATCACCATCGTTCGGGGATGGACAGACCCCCCTTTAGTAAAACGTGGTTCAGTGAAAACGACCCGAGGCCAAAACCTGGCGGGCGCAGGCCTGGAAAACAACGGCCACGGCGCCCTCTCGAGAACCGACAACGGACAATTCTCCTACTCGACGTGTCACTGTTGGGGGCTCTGTCCACCCCCGAATCGTCGCCGTCGTGGCCGTGGCCTCGGTCGTCGCCGCCGTGGCGGCGGCCCTCCGAGGCCTCCCCCGTGGCCTCCGCGGAGGCCTCCCGTGGCTCTGCGGCGGGCGGGGGGGGGCCCTGGAGGACCTGCGCGGGCCCAGCCTCGCCTCGGCCTCTCGGGCCTCAGCTGGCCACCGCCCGCCGCCCTCGCCGCCGGCGTGGCCGCCGTGGCGCCGCCCGCCGCCGCGGCCTCCGCCCCGTCGGTGCCTCGCGCGGCCGCGGCGGCCGCCGCCGGCGGTGCCCGGCGGCCGCCGCCGCCCGCGCCCCGCGCGGCCTCGGGCGGCCTCGGGCGGCCCCGCCCGCTCGAGGCCCGCCGCGGGCCGCCGAGGGCGAGGCTGGGGCCGGGCGGCCCTCGTCGGGGGCGTGGGCCGCGGCCTCGTCGCCGGCGGCGCCCCCGGGCGCCCACGGGCCAGGACTCGCAAGCAGCGGCGAAGCGTCCTGGCTCGCCTATGGCCCTACCAAACAGTGTTCTAAGAACCGCTTGTGGTTTCTGCGACTTGTTCTTAGAACCTTTCTGGCGGAGTCCGTCTTGTTGTATCACATCGGGTTTATGTGCTACGAGCATTGTTTTTGTTCTTAGAACATTTTTTGGTTCTAAGAACATTTCGTGGTATGACTATGGGAATGCCGGGATGGTCGGTCCCTGCTCAGCCGCAACCGCCGCCGCCGTCGTTGATCCGCCTCGGCGTCGTCGTCGACCGCTGCGGAGGCCCAGTGGAGGAAGTTGTACCGATGCCGCTACTCTTCCCTCGTCGCCTCCACGGCTGGACTCGCCTCGACATCCTGGTCAGAACGCACCCCAGTACCCAGGAGGGGTCTGGGGAACGGCGGTATCGGTACTAGTTGTTGCTTCCCCAGCCTCTATGTTCGGATCGTGTCGTGTCGACGCGGTGGTGACCCCAGCGCGGGCGTTGAGGGCTGAGGACCGCCAACGGCCCGGAATCGGCCAGCATCGCACGATCAGCGATATCGGAAGGCTACGTTCGCTCAAGGTTGAATGACCCACGCGATTTCAGAAAACAAACGCAATGTGTTGCGGAGTTGCGCGCCCTGATCCGGACAGATTGATGACGGATCTGTCTGAACAGACACTCTGTTGACACGGTTGGCGGGCCGCAAGACGGGCCGCTCGATCTTGACTGTTCAATGAATTCCCATGCAAAAGGTTGTCAGCGAAGGTGAAACGTGACGGCGGATCGGAGGCGCCCCTCGGCGAGTTGCCACCTCGGGTGTTGCCAGAAGTGCCCCTGGCCCAAGGCGCCCCCAACATTTCGCTCCATTTTGGAGCCCCTGGGCCCCTGGGGCCCTCTGGGCTCGTGAGGGGTGCTCTGGAGGCCGTCTGGGCCATCCCGAGAATCCTGGGGGTACCTCGGGCCAGGGGCACTTCGGCAACACCCGATCTGCCGTTCAAGCGGGGCCTACGCGGCCAGGTGTTGGGCCAGGGTCTGAGCGAGGCTGCTGGACCGCGTGTTCCCGCAGCTGTTGCGGATACAGCGCGGGAATCACGGGGGGCTAGCTGGAGGGTTCCGTCCTCCTCCTCCTCCTCCTCCCTCCTCCTCCTCCTCCTCCTCCTCCTCCTCCTCCTCCCTCCTCCTCCCTCCTCCTCCTCCTCCTTCTCCTCCTCCTCCTCCTCCTTCTCCTCCTCTCCTCCTCCTCTCCTCCTCCTCCTCCTCCCTCTTCCCTCCTCCCTCCCCCTCCTCCCTCCTCCCTCCTCCTCCTCCCTCCTCCCTCCTCCTCCCTCCTCCTCCCTCCTCCTCCTCCTCTTCCTCCTCCTGCTCCTGCTCCTCCTCCTCCTCCTCATTATCCTCCTGCATCTCCCCCTCCCACTCCCTCCCTTCCACCTCCTCCTGCTGCTGCTCCTCCTCGTCCTCCTCCACCTCCTCCTCGGGTCGCCTACGGCCCCGGGGGAAACCGTGCAGGGTTAGCTAAGTTCCGTCATGTCTGGCCTTGGGCCACATGGTGGGTTTTTGGAGACCACGGGCGCAATGTGTTGAAGATGTTGGGGGTGTCTTGGAGTATATCTGGGACTGTTTTGGATTCGCCTTGGGATCCTGTGGTGGCCATTTCGGCTGCCTCTTAGGCCTCTCTTGGCTCGTCTTGGCAGCCTCCAGGGGACCGCTTGGGGCTTCTTGGGCCGTCTAGTTTGCCTCGCGGGCCAATTGTCCTGCCCTCTTGGAGGACTCTTGGGACGTCTCAGGGTCCCCATGGGGACCATCTTGGGCCGTCTTCGAACTTCAGCCCTCTTGGGCCCCCGTCTGCCTTTCTGGGGGCCAGCGTGCACTGGAAAGCCTAGGATGCAGAAGCAAAGGAGTAGCTCTCATGTTTGATTGTTCTCAGCAGTGCGAAGGCCTTGATTCGAGGCTTCCTTTGCCGTCTTTGCGGCCATTCGGGCTCTTTCATCGGCCTAGCGTTTTGAGCCAGTCTTGGGATCATGTGTCGCCTTCTTGGCGACCTCGCCGGGTCCCGCTCTTCCACTGGACCTCCGCGGCGGCCGCGAGGGCGGGCATGGTCAGATGCGGTTGCGGCTGCCGAGGTTTGCGCGGCGTTCCACTGCTGTGACTTGTTGGGCTGCCGCCGCAGCAGGCTGGATAGTCGAGAGGGGCAGCTGTGCTGCGCCAGGGATTCGCTTCCTCCTCCTTCCCTCTCTCCCTCCCGCCCTCCTCCTCCTCCCTCCCCTCATTCTCTCCCTCTCCCTCTCTCTCTCTCTTTCCCTTTCTTCATGTTTCTGTTTCTATATGTATTGTTTGTGTTGTTTGTTGTCTCTCTTTCTCTTTCTCTCTCTCTCCCTCTCTCTTTCTCTCTCTCTCTCTTCCTTTTTCTTTGCGAGCGAGAGAGCCATCGTTCGTGTAAGCCCCGCCCACGAGCCATCGCAGGCCCCCTTCCAAGCGCCCTGCGTGCCCTTGGGTCTGCTCGTAGTGTGCCCCCTTGGGGTCGCCCCCTGCGGTGTCGCGCGGCGCTGCCGCCAAGGCGACCGGCCTTGCGCTGCGGCGTTTGCCTGCGTTGCGGTGCAGGGCGTTGCGCAGCTCCCCACGGTGCCAGACTTGGCGCCGCCAGTCTGGGCGCTTGCGGCCGCGCGCCGCGCCCGAGCATGAGGCCTGCCGCTCCCGACCAGAGACATCGGTTGCGTAGGCATCGTTCGCTTGGTCGCTTGCGCTTCCGCCTCCTCCTTCTCTTGTCATGCCTGCAGGCTCGTGCCCTCCGCTGCTTTGGCTGCGCCTGCAGCGCATGGGGTCCTGCAACCGCGTTTGCCCGTGGAGGCCGAACAGTGTTGCAAGCAATGCGTGAAGACCCTTTTCCCTCGTTGTCCCGCATTGCCTTGCCTCCATGTTCTTTTTCTTTCTATCATCTTGCCCCTTCTCGCCCGGCGCCCGGCCACCCCTGCGCATTGTGGTACTTCGTCAAGCATTTGTCCATCGAGACATGCTGCCTCATGCTGAGAGTTGGAGGCGGGTGCGAGGGGCGTGTGGGGGCGCTTCCTCCTCTGGCTCACTGTGTGGTAGTTGTGCCCGTCCGACCCCGTCTCACCCCGTCCCGCCCTGTTCCTCCCGCCCTCATGTCTGGGTTGGAACGTCCCCCACGTGCGCGTGCGATCCTGCCCTGCCTGCACGAGTCCCCCCGGAATGGTATCCTCCCTCCTCGGATTCCGAGCAGGAACTTCCTTGTCTTCGTGGACCTCGGGAAGCGGCGCACACGGCCATGCAAGGGGCCCCCAGGGGCCCACAAATGCATCCACGTTCGTTGCCCCCCGGGCGGTGGTTCTGTGTTGGTGTCCCGATGGTTAAACCACCAGCCTTCGTTTTTGAGGGGCACCCTCATGTTCTTCGCATTTGGGCTGTTTGCCTTGTGTTTTTTTGAGTTTGGGGAATCTCCCCGGGACTCTTGGCCCTCAGCGAAGAGACCCGTGATCCGCCCACACCTCGACCGTGTACTCTGTCTCCCTCAATAGTTCTGGGGGTACCTGTAGTCCGGGGGGGGTACCTATAGTCCGGGGGGGGGGTACTTGTAGTCCGGGGGGGGGGTACCTGTAGTCCGGGGGGGGCGTACTTGTAGTCCGGGGGGGTACTTGTCCGGGGGGGTACCTGTAGTCCGGGGGGGGGGGTACCTGTAGTCCGGGGGAGGGGTACTTGTAGTCTGGGGGGTACCTGTAGTCCGGGGCCCCAAAACTATTGAGGGACACAGAGAAGGCCCCAAACCCGGCACCTCCTCCGCACGCCCCTACCGCCCGTTTCCCCCCGCAGTCAGGAGTGCATCACGCGGAGCCGCTATCGCTGGAGCAGTTCTTGTTCGACCCCCCCGTTGCCGCGGCTGGCAGCTTTGAACCGCCGCCGACGGTGCCCGCGATCGTTCAGGCGTTCCTGCTGGGAGGGACGGGGCGGACGGAGGAGGAGGAGGAGGAGGAGGAGGAGGAGAAGGAGGAGGAGGAGGAGGAGGAGGAGGAGGAGTGCGCGACGCCCCCCCCCCCCCTCCCAAAAGAGTAATGTAGCCTTGACCACCGGAAAGACTTTCGAGCACCAAGGAAGTACAGACACTGGAGGTGTTTCACGTGTCGGGCCCTGGGAGGCGATCTTCTTCCGACACTGGTTCCAGACGTTTCTGGGTGCTCGAAAGTATTTCTGGGATGTGGTCTTCGAGTTCGATGGGAGCACCATAACCCGAGGGCAGCGCGCGTTGCGGGGAAGTTGCTCCTCTGCCGGCCCCACCTCGTGGGGCCCCCGCTTGGAGCGAGCGCCGCCGCCCGCCGCTGCCCGAGGAGTTGGCCCCAGCGTCGCGCGAGGGGGCAAAGAGCGGAGCATAGAGGGGAGAAGAGGAGGAGCAGCAGGAGGGCGGAGGAGGAGCGAAGAACCACGAGAAGCATACTCAGAGGGAGGATATGGGAGGCACGGGGGAGTTGGCCCCAACGTCGCGCGAGGGGGCAAAGAGCGGAGCAGAGAGGGGAGAAGAGGGGGAGCAGCAGGAGGGCGGCGGAGGAGCGAAGAACCACGAGAAGCATACTCAGAGGGAGGACTGGGGAGGCATAGGGGGAAGAAGCTTCGGAAAGCCAGAGAGAGCAACAGAAGGCGGAAGGAGCGTGGGGGGGAATCAGGAAGAACGGGGTCAGGAAGCGAGTTAGCAGGAAGTGGGATGAGCAGGGAAAACGAGGAGGAGTGGGTAGGAAGAAGGAGCAGGAGTACAAAGAGGGAGGAGGGAGGAGCTAACAGGAAAGAGAAGGGATGGGGAGGACGGAGCAGAGAGAGAGAGAGGAGGGCGCATGGCGGAGGGGGAGTCCGTGGAGTAAGAGGTAAGGACCTTCTCATCCCATCCCTCCACCATTCCCCCCTCCTCCATTCTTCATACCCCCTCACCACTCCCCGCTTGGCTCCACCTCTCTGCGCCCTTCCCTCCTCTACTCCAGCTCGGACCGCAGCCACCAAGCCGCAGCCAATCCCTGAACCCTGAATCCTCCTCGTCCTTCCCCTCACCTTCCCTCCTCCGCCACTCGCCGCCGGTTACTTCGTTGTCGACGACGGTACCGCCAGCCACGACGCCTGCGATGATGGTGATTGTGACGGCTGATGGCTGATGGTTGATGGTGGGTGGCTGATATCCGAGCCGCAGCCAGTCCTTGAACCCTGCATCCTTCTCATCCTCCCTCACCTCCTCTCCTCCGCCCCCTGCCACCGATTAGTGCGCTGTCAACGACGGCACGGCCGATTGCGACGCCTGCCATGAAGTTTATGATCACGGTGATGGGAATGATGGTTAGGATGTTGATGATGACGACGATGATGATGGTGATGATGATGGTGATGATGGCGGTGGTGATGACGACGACGAGAGGGTGATGGTGAGTCCGATGGTGAGGATGACGATGCTGCTGTTGCTGCTGATGATGATGGTGATGATGATGATGATGATGTTGTTGTTGTTGTTGTTGCTGCTGTTGCTGTTGCTGTTGTTGTTGTTGTTGTTGTTGTTGTTGTTGTTGTTGTTGTTGTTGTTGTTGTTGATATGTTGATGTTGATGCTGGTGATGTTGTTGGTGATGATGATGCTGCTGCTGATGATGCTGATGATGACGATGGCCAGCACGATCATGAAGAAACACATGACGACGAGGCTGATGATGATGTTCACGGTGATGTTGATGCTGGTGCTGATGCTGGTACTGGTGATGCTGAGAGTGATGCTGATGATGGTGACGCTGATGGTTGTGGTGTCAATTGCGCAGCATGTGGCACGTGACGACTGTGATAACGATGATGCTGATGATGATGGTGGTGGTGGTGATGGTGGTGGTGATGGCAATGGTGATGGTTGATGAGGATGTCTCCGTCCCGCCCCCGCACCATTTTTCCTCCTTTTCCCCCATTCCTGCCCGGACCTCCAACGTCTTGAAACGTCTTGAAAAGTTCGGGATGGGCGTTTCTTGCTACCTTCGGCCGTCGAGGCCGCAGTCGGGCCCCAGCATCGTCAAACACCAGCCTGGGACCAAAGCCGGCCCCGCAGGGCAAGTGGGATGAAAGACGGGCAGTTCCAGCCACGAACCGCGTGACGGGTGTGCCGAAATGGGCGCGGTGGCGCCATGCGAACGCAGCCACTGGGGCCTTCGGTGGAGCTCTCTGTGGGGCCACGAAGCCTACTGGTTCAACGATCGGCGCGGGCCCCCGCCCCCCCCCCCCCTCGCCCCATCCGCCCCTCTCATGGACCAGAACTTGGCTGCTTTGGCCAGCTGCTTTTGGCGACTGGACAGGACCCCTCCCCCCATTCTGCTTGTGCGACTGGCAGAAGCAGATCCACTGAGCACCGGCCCAGACCCAGACACCCCTCCTTCTCCACCCTTCGGCCAAATGTCGAAGGCAAAATTCACAAAAGCGCCTACGTGCTGAAATGGGTGCGGCTGTACCGTGCGAGTGCAGCCGCTGGGGCCTTCGATGGAGCTCCTCATGAGGCCACTAGACGTGCGCGGAGTGTTCCGTAACGGGTGCGGCGGTGCCGTGAGCGCAGCCACAGAGGCCTTCGGTGGAGCTCCGTGTGGGGCCCAGAAACGTATGACGGGTGTGCTGACATGCGTGCGACGGTAACATGCGTACGCTGCCATTGGGGTCTTCGGTGGAGCTCCTGCACGAATAAGGGGTGTGCTGAAACGGGTGTGGCGGCGCCATGCGAACGCACCCACTTGGGGCCTTCGGTGGAGCTCCCATATGGGGCTTAGAAACGTGTGAGGGGCGTGCCGAAATGGGCGTGGCGGTGCTATGCGAAAGTAGCCACTGTAGCCTTCGGTGGAGCTCCCTTTGCGTTCACGAAACATGTAAGGAATGTGCCGAAATGGGTGCGGCGGTGCCACGCGAACGCTGTCACTGGGGCCTCGGGTAGAGCTCATTACGGCCTTCTGGGCCACAGAACGCGTGAGGGGGGTGCTGAAATGGGTGTGACGGTGCCATGTGAACGCTGCCCCCGTGGCCTTATGTAGAGATCGGCATGAGTCATGGGCCACGAACGTTGTGAGGGGTGTGCCAAATGTGCGTTTGAGTGCCTCTGGCGTATGACTTTGGTGAGTTCACAAAGTCCTTGAGCTTGAGAGTGTTTACAGGTGAGGGGACCGGACCATGACCACTTTGGCTCAAGTCCTTTCTCTCTTCACTAAGCCCGATCCGACCCATTCCCATACCCTTCCCATCATCCTCTCATCCCTTTCTGTATGTACCTGAAGGGTCACCGTGCTGATAGACGGACGCCTGGGGGTTGCCGAGTCAGGGTTTAGCCAGGAAAGAGCACCATACACTTCGTCAACGTCATCGTCCAGGGAACAGTGGTAGCGGAGCGTCTGAGGACGCTCTGGTCGATCTGCGGACGATATGACGGGATCGGAGACTGGTGACAACTCGAATGGCGGGACTCGGAACAGTGGCCAGGAGTCTATCGAGCAGGTCATAGAGATCGCGCAGCAGTGGCAGAACGAGGACGGACAGTTCCAGATCACGGCGGAACAGATGCGCACGTTCCTAGAGCAGGCCAGAAGTCTCATGGTGGCAGAAGCGTCGAGTGCCGGTCAGGGCGTGAGCTCAAAGGCCACGGCAGACGCGGACAACACCAAGAATGGCCAAGGAGAAGAACGGGACGATCAGTCATGGAACTCGTCGGCACGGTGGAGCAAGGTAGGCGACACAGCTGGCGCCAGTCCAGCTCCACGGGGGGAACGAGATCCATGGCAGCCAGACGGGCAGGATCCTTGGAGCCAGGCTTCGAGCAGCTGGACGGACAAGCACGCCGGCTGGAAGGATCACTCCGACGGTTGGAAAGACAAGTTCGACAGCTGGAGGGACAAGTCGGACGAATGGCGGTCAAACTATTGGCAGAGCCGCGACTGGAACGAAAGCAAGTGGGGCGAAACGTCGGGGACCGAGAAGTGGAAGACCGACGAGAGGACACGCGGGAGGGACTTCGCAGATCCTGAGGCATGGCCCGGCTGGTCAGAGTTCAAGCTCTGGCGGCGGAAGGTGATGCGATGGCGACAGACGACAGATGTGGAGGCACATAAGCACGCGGATCGCATCATGAAGCTGCTGCCGATCGACTTGTAGCGGAAGCTGGAAGACATCACCGACGAAGATCTGATATCAGACAGTGGGGCAGACAAGGTTATAGCCAGGCTGGATCTGCTTTCGGGAGAACGAGTCGGAGACGAAAAGCGTAAAGCAGGACGTGAATGCTTGTTTTCGTTTCAACGCAAGCAAGGAGAAGGACTCACTGAGTACGCAGCGAGGTTGGACCTGGCTTTCGACAAGGTCGGTACTCTCGGACTTCCTCTACCCGATGATTGGAAATACATGTTCTTGGAAGAGGGAGCTGGACTGGATGAGCGAGGTGCTCAGTTGATGAAGATTCAGATGAAAACAAAAGATTCCTACATAGAGGCTTTGGCAGCCATCCGCGAGATGGGCGTGACCAGGCGTGAACATCTCAGCAATCGCCGATCTCGAGCCTACCACGTCGAGCAGTCTGGGGTCGTCAAACCAAGTTTCCCTGTACATGAGCCCAACTCCGCTGACGACCAGGACACGGACTCCCTCCTCGACTGGGACGACGTATCCTCTTTGGACACTGAGGGCGAGGCAGAGATATATGTAGCGCTGGACAAGATGGACCTGTACGACGATGAGCTCAAGTACGTGTTCAACACCATGCAGGAGGGCAGGCGCAAGACATGGAAGCAGAACCGCGACTTGAAGAGAAAGCTCAAAGTGGATCGTAAGTTCTTCGACCGCTCGAAGGAGATCGAGATCAAGATCGGCGACAAGAGCAAGTTCAACAAGGGACATCGCTCGGCGAAGGGAGAGCATCGACCTAGACGCAATCGACTACCTCTCGCG